GATGTTGTGTTGGGGCTGACGTTATGGGTAGTGCTGACTCCTACATGATGTTGTGTGTTATAGGGCTGACGTTATGGGGTGGTGCTGACTCCACCGATGTGTTGTGTTATGGGGCTGACGTTATGGGTGGTGCTGGCTCTACAAGATGTTGTGTTATAGGGCTGACGTTATGGGTGGTGCTTGGCTCCTACAAGATGTTGTGTTATATGGGGCTGACGTTATGGGTAGTGCTGGCTCTACAAGATGTTGTGTTGTAAGGGCTGACGTTATGGGTGGTGCTGACTCCTACATGATGTTGTGTTATGAGGCTGACGTTATGTGGTGCCGGACGTTCCGATGTTGTGTTATGATGCTGACGTTAACTGACTTACATGATGTTGTATTCCGTGTTATCTCTGTCTACCTGTTTGTCTCTCTCTCTCCCTGTTCACCTGTCCTTCTCTCTCTCTCTCTCTCTCTCTCTCTCTCTCTCTCTCTCTCTCTCTCTCTCTCTCTCTCTCTCTCTCTCTCTCTCTCTCTCTCTCATCCCCCCCACCTGATTTTTACCCCAGAGCTTGCTTAATTACACGGCTTAGTGACACTGGCTAATGATTGGCTACTCGCCAGCCAATAGTATGAGAGTTTTGAAATGTTTCACCAATACGGTTACACCAACACCAGCTGACCAATAGAATCGAGTCTTGTGTTACGGTGGAAATGAAAATTTAAACTTTCACAAAAGTTTTAAATATCTCTAGTGAATAAAGCCTTAGGAAAGATGTTTTGTCATTAGTTAATAAAATACTATAACTCTCCACTAAGATCCGGGTTTGAATTCTCATTTTAAGAGAGGGAAAAGACGTAGAGGATTAAAATGGCCTGAAAATAATATTTACCTCATAGAGAAGAGATCATTCAGTCGAGCACCAAGGATAAACTTTTCACTCCTTGACATATTAAAAATTGTACAGGTATGTGGGACAGTAAGATGTTTACCTGGTTGGTTATTAAAGATGTACAGGTGAGTGGTATTGAGGTCAGGTACTTGGTGTTTATATTGTGGCTTGATTGAGTTAGCCTTACGTCACTAATGCGTCACTAATCAGGGAAGAAAATTTAATACCCCCCCCCACACACACACACTTAAGCATACTGATGAATCCTTCTCTTCTTCTCCCTTTGATTTATTCACTTATCTCTCCCTTCCCCTTCTCTCTCTCTCTCTCTCTCTCTCTCTCTCAAATCTATCCATTTCTCTCCCTCTCCATCCCATTTATTCATCTTTATCTCACTTTCCCTCTCATTTATCTCTCCCTCTCCCTCACATGTGTACATTTTTTCTCTCCCTCCTCCTAGACACATTCCGCCAGCAGTGTCAACAAACCGTGTCATCGTCATTGTGTTCCAGAAATATCCAGAGTTATTGCAACACCGCCTGGGCCGAGCTCCCTGGAGACGAGACGGAAGTGGCTCACTGCAGCACACACCCACGCACTCCTACACACACACACACACACACACACACACACACACACACACACACACGCACTCCTACACACACACACACACACACATACATGAACATCAACCATATTATTGTGTCCTGTGCTGGTTCCATAATTCATTGACCAGACATTCTCGACTTTTCTGATTATGATTTTTTTTTTGGTATTTATCAAAAAACGAGTTTAGTCTCGGTCGTGTCCCATCAAATAATGAAGAACGCATCACGGACGTCCATTATACCTCCTCTATAATCACGGACGTCCATTATGGTTTGTCGATAATCACGGACGTCCATTATGGTTTGTCGATAATCACGGACGTCCATTATGGTTTGTCGATAATCACGGACGTCCAACTCTGTGTAGTGAATGACGGTTTTACATTGATTTTCCGGACGAATAACTATCCCGGTGGACTCTGTATCAACACAAACAACAGGGGACTTTGTTAACTCTCTCCACACACACACACACACACCCACCTTAACATCCCCTTCCTTGTTATTTCTCAGACACCTCACGTCACTACCCACGTCTTCTTGTACATGTCTATATACAGTCCTTTTCTCTTCATACGATCTATAGTTTTTTTTTATAAGTGCAAGACCTACAATCGCCTCTCAGCTTCAGTACACCCGGTAGTCTTCACCCTCTTATTGACGCGGCGCAAGTGGAGCTCCGGCTGCGAATAACAGTGGGTTTGTCGATGGCATCAGTATGTGTGTGTCGCTGTATGGATTTGTGTGTGTGTGTGTGTGTGTGTGTGTGAGAGAGAGAGAGAGAGAGAGAGAGAGAGAGAGAGAGAGAGAGAGATCTTGTTGGTTGGGTGTTGACCAACCAGATTACAGCATCTCAGATTCCCTCTAGATGTTTGCTTTCCGTATGCCCGCTCTTCTCCACCCTCCGTCGCCAGCCTCTCTCTCTCTCTCTCTCTCTCTCTCTCTCTTTCTCCATGTTTTCTCACTTCTTCCTGATATTTTACACCTCTCCTCCTCCTCCTACTCTTCCTCCCTTCCAAGGATTATCACATTAACTCAACCAAGTCCATTACAGTGAGTGAGGAGGAAGTCTGCTGCTCTGTGTTGCGACGTGTCAGTGATGGAGGGAAGGAAGGAGGGAGGGAGGGAGGGAGGGTGGGAGGGAGGAAGTGAGGGAGTAAGGAAGGGAAGGACGAAGGAGGTCCACTAACGACAACCTCCACTAACGACGACGTTTACTAACAACGACCTACACGAACGACGACCTCCACTGACAAATTGGTCATTACGCTTTACTGATGGTCGTTCCGTCGTGTTGTAAACAGAACGATAACGTCGTGTTTACTTGGGGGTAACAAATAAAGAATTGGACACACACACACACACACACACACACACACACACACACACACACACACACACACACACACACACACACACACACACACACACCTCTCCAAAACATACAAATAAAACTTGAATGGTTTAGTGGATTTGTATCAGACTTGGTAAGAGTTTGACCTGGTAAAAAAAAAAAAAAGGGAAGAATAAGAAAGAAGTAAAGAAGAAGGAAAAGAAGAAATAAAGAAGAAGTAAAAAAAGATGAAGAAGAAGGAAAAGAAAAAGAAGAGAAAAGAAAAAAAAGAGGAGAGAGAAACATAAAAGAAATAAATGAAGGAGAAGAAGAAGAGCAAAATGAATAAGAAGAAAGAGAAGACAAAGAAACAAAGAAGAATAAGAAACATTCATACATACATTTATTCTTCCTTAAATAGAACGTGTCACAAGAACTTTGACCCAGGAGTCGAGAGAGGTTCACTTTGTAGTTGGCTAATTAAAGAACCTAAACTTTATCCTCTCCGAGTCTTACGAAGTCATTACGTTATTAACCCTAAGTGTAATTATCTTTGTTAGGTCAACTTCAGCAGGTTATAGTTGATGTTATTTAGTTGTTGTTGTTGTAGTTAGTAGTAGTAATTATTATTATTTTTGTTGTTATTGTTATTGTTATTGTTGTTATTGTTGTTAAAATTGTTGTTGTTTTTGTTATTGTTATTATTGTTGTTGTTACCATAATTTCGTTTCACGTTATCATCTTCCAAAACCATTAACCTACCCATAGTTAATTTTATAACCCCGGAGCAATAACCCGTCAAGCTACTCGTAATATATTTCTCCTGTTACATAAATAAGAGAAATACAACATCCAGTAATAAATAAATTAAGTAATACATAAATTAATAAATCAATCACTAATTAATACTATCTCCCGTGTTTGGTCAGGTGATAAAGCCTCAATGAGTACACCTGACAGAGACACCCAAATAGGTCTAATTATAGGGGAAAATTATTAATTGAGTCACCTGAGGATTATTGATTATCCTCCTAGGGTTTATTTCACCCTAACGTTACCTGGTGGGGTTAGGTTAGGTTAGGTTAGGTTAGGTTAGGTTAGGTTAGGTTAGGTTAGGTTAGGTTAGGTTAGGTTAGGTTAGGTTAGGTTAGGTTAATTCTATTTACTGGTGTCTTGTCTTTATGGTTCGTTTTATTACCTTAATTTATGGCTTTATGGTCCTGTTAACCTTGATGAGGCTATTGTCTCCTAAAAAAGCGTCAACACACACACACACACACACACACACACACACACACACACTCACACACATATACACATATACACATACATACACACACCACCAAGCACTGGAAAGGTTTGGCCGTGGACTACTGCACCACCCTCGCCACCTCCTGCCCCCCACCCAACTCGCCCAGTCCGCCACTACAACAAAATTCAGCCCATAAGAGCCCGCACCGATAGATATAACAACAGGACCATCCCATCTATTGTTAAAATAATAAACAACTCCTGATTTATGTACTGTACAGCCCTGTAAATGTATTCAATGCATATTATATCATTATGTCTAAATCAAATGTAAGTCTGTATATTTTCAGCCACCGGCTGCAACTCTATTAATAAACCGTTTATTATTATTATTATTATTATTATTATTATTACATACATACATACATACATACATACAAAGTTACATGAAACTCCTCACAATACTAAGTTACAGCTTCGAGTACTTCAACAACTCCTGCACACACACTCACTGTTTACACTCACGAGAGAGAGAGAGAGAGAGAGAGAGAGAGAGAGAGAGAGAGAGAGAGAGAGAGGAGTAACAGCAGAAAGAATAATAAGACTCAATACTAAAGCGAAACATAGCTAAAAATTGAAGTACAAACTCACAACAATTTATCTTACCAGAACCACAAAATACCTTCATGTGTTAGATGTAATAATATTATATCATGAACTTCTTTTTACTGCTTCTACAATGTACTTAAGCCTATCAACATCTGTTTTTAAATTATCAAATGGCTTCAGTCATTGATTCTATTTCATTTAGATGGACCAAATTTTTTCCTATTAAATTCATTAGTGTGTTTTAATATGTAGAAAACACTAAAACAATTATAATATCTTGTTTATGGTATTTTCTCCTCTCACAGGTGATGTAAGTACCGTAAATATTTCTAAATATTTATTACAAACAACAACACAAATTAATTAAAAAAAATTGCAACAATGAAACTGACTTTAATATCCACAGAGTACAACAGTGAGACGCGACAAACTAATACCACACCAAATATTAATGATTATAATTTTAGAACACAATACGAACAGTGGAGGTGAATGGAACAAATTGTCTCTTAAGTGCAGGAGTTTAGCGTCTCCTTAACGTATCAATACTGTAAGCGTTGATAATGAATTCAGGTTCATACACAATTTCACGATAGAATCATCACTAAATAAATACTGGAGGAAATTGTAACTATTTCAGGGTAGAATTATCAATAAAAATCGTCATGTCAATACTGGAGGCGACTGGTGGGTATGGCAACAGTGTCTGTGTATATCTTATGACTAATCACATATAAATAATGGAGACGACTGGTTAATGGCCAGACACAGCAACACACTCTTATATTAACCCCTTAACTAGAAGCTAAATAAGTAATCCGAGAGGGACAATATCCAAGACGTTACTATCATCATCGTCCCTTGGCTCCCTTCTGCGCCCTCTACGGGTTTGTCGCTGTTGTCTCTGCCACGCCGGGCGGGTTTTCTCCTGCAGGGATTGCATGGCCCCCGAGAGATAATCCAGGTGCTGGTATTCGTTGTTCTGGCTGAAGTAGGCGATGACGATGGCCAGGGAGTAGCGAGCGTCACAGAGACTCACGTTCCCCAACTCCTCAAACACGCACTCAGAGTTCTCCAGCAAGTACCTGAAGGTGAGGGGCAGAGAGGAGGGCAGGTGAGTTGTCGTGGAAGGGCGTCTTGGGGGGATAAAGGGATTTAATTTTATTTGAGAGAGAGAGAGAGAGAGAGAGAGAGAGAGAGAGAGAGAAACAAAAAATTTCTCCTAATTTAAATACAATTAAGGTACACAGGTAAGCCTTGAGTCAACAGTCTAATGCTCAATACACTCAGGTTCACTTCAACACACACACATTAATTTGGGTTCAACATAGTCACCCTCTTTACAACTGGTTTCCACGTAGATATAATTACAAGTGACGTAGTTTGGAAGTTAGTTGTATAAGGGTTATTTTATGTGGCAGTTAAATGAAGCTTGACATCATTAGCATTAGTAGATTAACACCTTTAATACTCTAGTTACGGTCTATAAAGCTTAGCTCATCAATAATGGTTAATGTTTGGCGTCATTCCTTAACAGCTCTCAGTGCATCTGTGGTTATTTCATCATGGTGAAATTCTTAGATTAATGCTACTTTATAGGAGGCAGTTCAGTGTTGATGATTGACTTTAAATTTTGTTGTTTACACTTCTGAAATATTGCGTTATTTCGTATCTCGGATGTTGAGAGCGAAATAATGCATCACTAATTGTTATCAATTATGTGCTAGGTAAGCAGTATTTTAAAACTGCGGTGGTTGGGCTGTATTTTAGTGAAATCAAATTATATTTAGTTCAATATATTTTGTGAGAGCAATTAAAATAAATAATACTATAAATGCAAACTCGTATACTTTTAGAGTTATCCTCAAATAATGCAGTGTTATTAAGCAAACTCTGGCATACTTTAATTCTAAAGCTAGCCCTAAAAATACACGTTTTCTATGTTTTAAATAAATATATAAGGTTCCCCTAAAATATTGTACATTTTCTTATACGTAGGGTCAAGGTTGAGGGCTGACTTAAGCATTGATCAGAACCGTACTAGGCATTGTAAGTGACCCAACAAATTCTGTTAGATTAAGCAAGAACTATTTTGTTTTATTATCACAAATAAGGGTAAGAATGGAGGACACGGTTATCAGTAGAAGTGAATTATGGAATTTAACCAACATTTCTGGAGATACAATTTGTAAATCGCAATACTAAAACACAAAAATGGAAACGGCAATGCACAGAACCTCACAGAACCTGACCTAGCCCCCTCCCCCCCCTTCCTGTGCATATTAAGCAGTAAAACTTACTTGGATATTGAATACTAATAAAAGCAACTTTCTTGAAACAGCTTTGTGTAATTTTACGTTTATCGATTCTTGCACCTAAACACGCATTTCTCTTCACTGTCAGTTCTCTGCCGTATTTTGAACACTTGCACGTTCTGCCAACTAGTTCATGTAGACAGATGAACTCTTGGAGACGGTCTTCATCCTCCACAGGTACGGATAACATGTGAAACAATAAAGAACAATCCGTTCAGGACCCCCCATAACTACGCACTTAAATTCAAGATGGTGGGCTTGTCTTGTCTCTGCCCCTGGGGAAGTACAATACATACAGGAACACAAAGTTCACTAATGCACCAATAATATTCCCAACTATATGTTTCTCATCACTGATACATAAAACGGGTTTAATAATCTAATGCGCCAAAAAGAAAAGAAAATTAAGGGATTTACGCACCAGATCGACTTATGAATCTGAAAACTGAAGAGTAAAACATGAAAAAATTACAATCAATCCAATATATGCGGTAATAAAACCCCCGATATGAGGCTATGTGGTTTATTTACAATTTAAAGGAGGTAAACAAACCGCGTCACGGGAGATCTATCGCCGGACTGTTTACGGTAGACAATAAATTTTTTGGCGTATACCGCGTAGACATAAAATTATTGTTATATGATAGGTTTATCTGAGCTTTTTACGCCGCCATTTCCTTCATCCTCCATGTCCTGGCCACTACAGGTGATTTATGATCGTCGATAGAGGAAAACGAAAAAAAAAAAGTTATCGCATTGTTTTTATTAGTTAATATCACCCATAGAACAGCTGTGGAAAATATGAACGAATTATATAAACCAGTTCGGGTGCTGACCGTTTGCTTCACTTTTACCCACATAAGTACTAAGGTTAATTATCGAAATTCTGAAGCGACTGAAAAGCAGATCATCGAGAATTTTTAGTGTTTGGTTTGGTTACATACACAAATTAATTTATCAGCATATTTACAAAGACTCGTACATGCACAACTTAGTTCTGAGAAGAGCAGGTTGACAGGACTCAGTGATGTGACGGTCGGTAGGTAGAACACTCATAGATGTCCTGCATCCACATTTTATAAGTGAGAAAGATCCAATAGTAACCAATGGGTGTGAATGACTATTTTACAACTATTTATGAGAAAAAAGATCATGCAATAATACAGCTTCATCTTTCCGTCTCTGGACTTGTTTCAGCTGCATACTTCAGTCTTATGGCTTCTCCCACTTATCCTGTTCAGCAAATAGGTCTTGCAAAACACCATATAGGACTTGCGTGTTGGCTGGGCGGAGAGTAATGTTGTCGTGTTGTCTGCTCGGTCTGCTCGGTCTCCTCTGGTTCCTCCGGTTGTCTCTCTTCTCATTTTTCCTCCTATTCTTCTTCTTTGACTTTTGGCCTTTCTTATTACGATTCTTATTTTTGCGTCTCCCTTGTCTTGGCTGGTCTTCCTCGAAATCTCTCAAATGATTTTGGTTGGAGTCTGATGGAGACCTTCTAGGAACCTCAGCAGATTCAGTGTCTGTAGGGGGGTTCTCATCGTTCTCATCTTCCATCAGACCAGGTTCAGTGGGTTCTGGAACCATTAGGATAGGTTCAGTTGGTTGCGGCAAACTAGGTGGAGATTCAGTGGGTACTGCAGTGGGTACTACCATTGCACGGCTGTCTTTACCACTAACTGGCAGACGCGAATTGAGGTCGTCTGACGGACCCACTCTCTCTCTGTTAGGTTGTGCTGTGGAAGGTACAGTGGTAGTTCCCTCAATAGATTCTTCGAAATTATGATGGCTCGGTGTCCATCCGTCCAGAGTCGTCTCTGGGTCAGGTCGAACCATGATGAATCGGGCCAAGTTGGAGACGGGGCTGTGGAAGACAGGACTTTAGCTGATCAATTAATATCTACTGTTTATGGCAGTCACCTTACAAGTAGAAGATGGCGGGTTGCGGTGTTAACAAGGACTTGCTTATTTTCACCCAAACTTTTAAAAGTCAATACTATACGAATGAAAATGACTACTCATTTTTAGATATCATAAGATTAGGACATATTTCATAGGGGTTTTATATTATAAGGTAAAACTCTCGTAAGTATTAAGGAAATTATGTAAGATCTTGTTTTTAGTTTATATTTTGAGGCACAGGACAGCCTTTAAGAGTAAAACCCGATTATTTAAACAGTGTAGGAAGTAGGAAGTATAAAGCTTATTAATGAATAAGTACAGTGTCCTGCAGCCTGCGGTCAACCCACCTAACATTGCCACTGTCATCGATGGCCCTAAGCGCCGCGTAGTAAAGCTTATTATACTGCAGCGGCCCGACCAGGGGCACGGTCACGTTCACCTCCGTCCCCGCCACCTGGTAGACCCCCGCACTCGCCAGGAGCTCCGATACCTCCAGCAGGGTCTCCTCTGGGGCCAGGTCAAAGCGGTACTCTCGGAGGTCACTTATGCTGTCACTCATACGAATGACGTAGCTAGAGGCTGAACCAGGTCATTTGGGTTAGGGTGAAAATCTTGGTCAGTATTTATCTAAGTCTAGATTTATAATTATACCCACAAGTGTTACGTTGAATCTTCACCCCCCCCCCCTATGTCATGTGATGAACAAAATAGGAGTAAGATTATTTATTAATAATATTTATTTTTTCCATATTACTTGGCCTCTGTAGTGTGCCCGGACAAACAGAGGTGTGGACTATTTTTTATTATTCTTATCCCTTATTTACTTTTAAGTTTCCCTTACCTGTACCGAAGTCAAGGTCGTCCCCAGGTGTTGTCCAGGTAATGGTGATGGTGTGAGGGTCAAGGGGAGCGGCACGGAGGTCCCTGACGGCCACCGGCGGTAGCACATCAGTGTTAACTGATGGCACGTCTATCACCTGTAGGGTGCCACACACACACACACACACACACACACACACACACACACACACAAGAAGAGAAATAATAGAATAACATTAAAAAGGAAGAAATAGCCACATCAATGGAAAAATATTATCATAAGCAACAAAAACATCGACTTGGCACTATTTGGCACTGACCTTGACGGAGCCAGCGGAGGCGACTCTACTGAGGCCGTTTATGTTGATGGCGTTGGTGAGGTCGAGAGGCACATAACTCCCACAGCACCTGTCAGGCATTTCCACGGTGTTGGTCTGCACCTGACAGTAGCCAAACAACCAGTTATTCAGTCAAAAATCAATGATTTTTCATTTAATTTATCAATCAATCAGTTATTGAATCAATGAACCTGTTCCTCCATCAATGAATCGATCAATCCAATAAATAATCAATTAGTCAGTCAATCATCCAGTAAAATAATCAATCATAGTTAACTAATCAAGTAGTGACTCAACCAATCAATCAATTAATTAATAAATTAATCAATTAATCAATTAATCAATCCTCCATCTGTAGCGATCGTTTCTCCCATCGTTCAACACCGCGGAAACAGAAATTACTTTAACTATAACATCAAGACACAACATCAACATCAGCAATATTACGTTATGTGTTGCTATGGTCAATAAAGAATCTATCTTATCATCGGCAGGGCAGTGGTGACAGTACGCGTCAGTCTGTTGTAGTTACCCTTCAAAATATCTCCATCTTCTACAGTAAACAGACTGGCTATCTGACTGCCATTTACTCTCTGTGACAGCTGATGGAAGCACGTTGGTCATGTCATGTTATTTAATGGCAGCCTCCGGAAATCTTGGTTCAGTTACAGACATCTTACCCGTTGACATTTGACAATCACGGGGTCATGTCTCGCCTCCTCACGCTTCAGCTGTAAAAGACTCGGCCGGAGATGAGACAAGCGAGAGCAATATTGTTGCAGGTGCGCTAAGCTGCATCGGATGGCCAAAAAAATACAGTATTGATTTTTTTGTTTACGAAGCAAGTTTATAATTACTTGTTTGAGATCATCAGTAATTAACTCTGCCTGCTGATATTTAACCCCTGAAAACAAACTTTCCACGTAAAAATACTTAAAGTAATAAAACATCGTTCTGAATACTCGCATGATAACATCAACAAGATAACTTCAGTAAGCTCGTACATGACGAAGACCTTATAGTGGATGACGTAATTCACGAACAAGATATTTCAAACTAAATCCAAAGTAGATTTAGTAATAGATTTAGATACTTTGGTATAATAATTAGGGATGAAGGGATAATAATAGAAATATTCATGGGCAAAATTGAGAGTAGGAGGGTCAGAGGAAGGCAGATACAGGGATGGATGAATGAAATTAAAAAATGGATCCCAAGAGAGATACAAAACGGAGGATTAGTAAAAACAGCCAGAGAACGTTTAGAGTGGAGGACTGTGGTCGCCAACCCTAATATATGAGGATAGTACTCTGATTGATTGAATGAACACATACACACACACACACATGCATTTTAATTGCACTAAAACTGCTACGGTTACTAAAAGAAAATTACATTATTTGATACAGCGCGACTATCCCTTAGTAGTCCACCCGCACTCCACAACAAATTTCTGGTCTTTATCTTCAAAGCTGTAAAATATTTATTAATTTCCACAGTTTTGAAGATAAGAGAGATACAATTTGGTGCGTATGGCCTACCCTCCACCAGGGCAACCCAACTAGTACACACACACTTACTGCATAGTCTTCGGGAGAGATCTGTCCTGAATTATGCAGGTCTGGGGATATGTGGGGGTCGGTTGGCGTCGACCCTGAACCATTACTTCGGGCTATTGAGTCCTGGGGTGTGTCCCGTACAGTGAGGGGCTCTTCAAGTTGTCTCAGTGAATAATCGTTTACTGAGTAGCTCCTAGAATTATGATCAGGGGCAACATGGTGGTTAGTCCTCAGCGAGTTACTTAAATCTGTCGTCTGGTCGTCTCTACCGTTTCTGGAATCAACATTGACACCTAAACTTCCAGATGTCCTGGAATAGACACTTCTAGAATCAGGAGCTGGTGAATCTGATGGAAAACTCCTTGTTGTGGCAGAATTCCCCGTGCTATAGCTGAGGCGTCCATGCTGATGTCGTGGTAAAGAGGAGCTCATCGGCGACACTTGTGAGTTCAGTCGTCGGTAGTATCTCGCTGCAGGGTTTGGACGATAGATACTGACGTCGATGTAGGCTGTTGTGGAATGGCTTCTGGTTCTTTCAGATGCTTCAGGATGAATTTTTCTCTTTGGTGATGCTTCTGACCTTAATGTGCCATAGTTACTAAAAAGGTCGTTGTAGTAGAGGTTACGTCTTGTAGGTAAGTGACCACGTGTCTTGCTATCTTTCGCTGAATTTATTTTATTTATTCTGAAATCTCTGGCTGGGTCTGTGTCTCTGCGGGTATATTGTGGTCTAGATGAGCCTGTTGTGAAGCGGTGCCTTGCCTCATGTGGTCGATATTGTGTAGCTGGGACACCATCCTGCAAGATTATGATATCAATATTATCGCATTTATTTTTTTGCAAAGTTCCCAAACAATTTTTTTTAAGCTTAATAAATGTTATATTATTCACACAAGAAAAAATAAGGCACTGTGAGTGACATGGATTCATCATCTCCATTTTTCCGTCATCTTCCACGTTTAAGAGAGTTAGGCGTAAGTACCTGATAGCAACTCACACTCACTCACCTCCAGATACACTCACTCACCTCCAGACACACTCACTCACCTCCAGACACACTCACTCACCTCCAGACACACCCACTCACCTCCAGACACACTCACTCACCTCCAGACACACTCACTCACCTCCAGACACACTCACTCACCTCCAGACACACTCACTCACCTCCAGACACACTCACTCACCTCCAGACACACTCACTCACGGACAAACCCTTACCTCTCTCCATGAGTCAATAGTTCGAGAGTATCCAGCCGCGCCCGCCACGTCGACGCCCACCACAGTAGCCAGCACCCACGCCCACACCTGTACTTCCACCTTCATGTTCCTCTCTGCTGAACAATTGTCTCGTTAAATTACTACAAATCTAACGACAACTTCCCTCCCTGTTATATGTTCAATGGTAGTGTTGTGAGGCTTCAAACAGCTAATGGGTAGTTTACATATTATTTAGATATATTTTTTTAGCATAGTTAAAGTAATAAAGTAATAACGATTAATACAGTAACTACATTGCACAGGCGTCCTACATGGTAACTCCCTATATTGTCAAATAAATCTAATTTTGTTATACATTAAATAATATAGTACATTAGCGCTATATAATTTATTTTCACTTTAAGAAAAAACCTATTTTTAATTCTAACGATTATATATATTTTTTGAATATGGCGATAAATTATGTCCTTAACATCCCTTAGGAAACATAAAAGCTTTTCCTCTGGTAATACTGATGATAATACAGAAAATAATAATAGTAGTACAGAAACGAGTCATGGTAATATCTGTGAACACGAACTAAGCAGCTCCAAGAGGAACACCCGGAACCTGATCTGGTTGACCCCAAGGACACACGATCGACCCTCGCCACGAAACAGAACTATCGCTTGACTGGTTCCTAATCTTTTAATGAGGGAAGGGAGGGAGGGTCAGATCTCTGCCTTGGGTCATGGGTTACTGATACCATGCGGCCTTAGGTGGTCACTGACACTATGTGGGGGTAAGTACCAAGGTATATAGTCATGTTTGTAAGGCTGTCTGTACTGTACACCTTGTCACTAACAACTTGCACCACAAATCCTAAGTGAGAGATGAACATTGATGGGGGAAATTTCTTTGAATTTATTTGTAGTATTTTGTTTTAACTCTTCGTCGTGTTGTTTGGGAAGCAAATTAAAAAAAAAACCACGTTCTAGACTGTTAAATTATTATTATTATTAGATACAGCTAACGAAACACTATAATATCACCTTAACATATAAAGAATCTTGTCTGCACCTCTTTCGTGACAAAGATTACATAACTTTTCAATCCCAATGAAAACTAATATGAAGAACGAGACAATGGCTGGGTTAAAACATCTATCAGTCAGGTCAAGAACAGCGGGTTTTGTGCTGACTGAACGCTGACAATATTATAGCGTTCATTACTTTATCCATGACTACGTGTACGTGTGTGTGTGTGTGTGTGTGTGTGTGTGTGTATGTGTGTGTGTTATTGTAAGGTTGTAGCTGTGTTTGTGTTATGACTGGCCGGCGAGGCTTATGAAGTCACACACACACACACACACACACACACACACACACACACACACACACACGTAAAAACTCAAGCACGGTATTAAACTAACCACAAGTAGCCTTAGTTATATTATACTCAGGAAAGTCTAATATGTTTCTCTAGTTTCATATTGAGTTACTTGTTTAATAGGTAAGTTTTATTTGATGTCTTTTTAAGTGAGTTTTATGTTTCTGATGTGTTAAGTGGGTGAGTCATCAGTGGGCTAAGGTGCGGTGTTGCTATTGTTGTTGTTTTTATTTTGTTGTTGTTTTTGTAGTTGTAATAATTGTAGTTTTTGTTGTTGCTGTTGTTTTTGTAGTTGTAATAATTGTAGTTTTTGTTGTTGTTTTTGTAGTTGTAATAATTGTAGTTTTTGTTGTTGCTGTTGTTTTTGTAGTTGTAATAATTGTAGTTTTTGTTGCTGTAGTTGTAATAATTGGAGTGTTTTCTGTTGTTGTTGATGTAGTTGTAATATCTGTAGTTTTTGTCAGTCACTGTTGTTGTTGTTGAAGTTGTAACAATTGTAGTTTTTGTTACTGTTTTTGTATTTGTAATTATTGTAGTTGTTGTTGTTGTTGTTGTTGTTATTGTTGTAGTTTTAGTACACATAGGACCGTCTATAAACACTGTTCATTGAATCTTAACTTCTTCATCTCAAATGTCAAAATCATCAGTTAGAAAAAAACATTCGAGTAAAAAAAATTACTAAGATGAAAAAAAAGAAATCACCGAGAAAAAACAACTCAATTACTTCAAATGAATTAACACTATTTTGTTTTTTCATATTGAAGTAATTGTTATCAATGTTTGTATTTTTCTATATATATCTATATATCTTTTGCATATACATCAAGCCTATCTGTCTGCCTGTCACTATCATTTTGTCTATGGCAGTGATATGAAATAGTATATAATTATGTAATCCAGAAAATATCATATAAAACGAAATTTATCGCCCAATACGCCATCTATATCACAGCGTCGATATCTATTTGGCGACAATATGTATTTACGTCATTTAAAACGTAATCTAAGCGGATGTAAAGCCTGTCTATACAGTAATAGTGAACGAATGAAACATACTGTAAATTAATATAGTTACCCACAATTAACCATATCTTGATACCGTTTTTTCTCATCCTAAATCTATACCGTTTTCATTAACCACAGACTATCTTGTTGCTAGGCATAACACGGTAAATTTTGGCATAATTCTCAACCCAAAGTTTATCATGTGGATCTTGTTACATGTTGACCAAAACTGTTAGGTTTAGTGGAAATTCGAAGACAGACACAGACAAACAGATCGGAAAACAGTTACGGAAAGAGACAAGTCTGCAGATAAATAAGAAAAATAGATAAATAACACCTGTAAATAGATAAATAAATAATTAACAATTAAAAACAGTAAAAAAGTCTTGATATATAAAACCAAACTTGTATAATCAACTTCCACGCATTTTGTTGTTTCTAATGAGTTTTGTACGTTCACATCACTTGGTGGAGGTCACTCTGGCAGTTTCTTGTCACTTGTGGAGGAGTTTCAAACAATTTTTGGGTTTCAGTTCGAAATTCGGTTGTCACAAAACATCGCTTTCACAACTTAATGAAATGCAGTCTTTAATCAAAATGAGATAACATCACAAGAAAAACGAACAAAAATATACGATTTATGTCCAGAAAACACAATAATAATAATAATAATAATAATACGAGGTACTTCCAGGAGCTCACATTTCGAAACATATGTAACACTGTGTAATAATACACTGTCTTCACTCTGGCCAGAACGTTCATTAGTCAATTATGATAATCTACAAATTCGAAAGTAATTTCTATCATAACACAAGATACCTGATTGCTAACTCACTCTACATCAACACATCAAATTGCTGTTGTATTTTCATCAGATATCACAAATTTAGTACAAAAGATTAATTAACACTCTCACAAAGTCGCCACTAATCGTTCACAATAAATTATTTTGCAGTTGCACATTATAAATATCGTATCGTATCACATATATTTAATTCTCTTGTGTGTTGTTTCCTGAACATAGTAAAGAGGTTATTGCTATATGTACTTGATAAGTCCTTCAGTTATGATAGTGTTGACACCTGTGTTGTTAGGTGCCGAGAGGGAGGACAGAGCGGAGTGGTCCACCCAGGGCAGCCGTCACTACCTCAGTGGTGGGTGGAGGAGCCCGGCTGGATATGCTGACCCGTCTAGTGACGTCATGTGTTGCTCTAGTCTCTGTGGCCCCCTCTCCCCCCCACCTCCTCTTGCTCATTGCCCTGTACTCAATCTTCCCCCATCCCTCTCCTTCCCACTGCCCCATACCCATTCTTCCCATGCCCCTCTCCATCTCACTGTCCTGTACCCAGCTTTCCATCTTAATCCTTCTAATTGCCCACGAACTATATCTCCCCCTACTACTTATTGTATCTTGAACTTTGTAATTACTACATTGAATCAGGTGTGCTTGAGGACATTCTTGCGGTTTATCCCAAATTTGCTGCTGGCCCACACTGATTAGTCTTCAACTAGAATATGACGTCCAATGTATGTGACCCACTGACCTATATATACTGCTAAAGAATATGATGTATTTCTTTGTGTACGAACCTCTGTCCTGCATGGCAGTGAACAGTGACATTACCCACATGAATTTGACCTCTATATATATAGTTGTTAATGAATATGTTGTATTTCTTTGTGTATGATCCTCTGTCTTGCGTGGCATTGAGAAGTGATACCACCCTCACTGTCAAGACCTGACTGAATTGCTCAGAATAGGCAAACTGTACTACAAGATTTGTCAATAAATTTTTTAAACTAAAAAAAAAAAAAACTACTTTTCTACTGACCACAGCCCTGTACCCCTCCTCGTTCCGCTCTACTCGCACTTTCAGCTCACAGTTTCACTTACCATATTTTCTCCCCGTTTTAACTCTGCCTTGTCCATCCACACCCTGTATTGTGAGTCTCCCTGTTACACCGTGGTCCACACTTACCCATTCCCTTTCCCGTCCCGGTCTTGGCTTCTTCCTTCTGTCACATTACTGCCCCTGTCCAACCCTTACCCTGCCTCAACCCTTGCCCTTTCCCTTCTCCGCTGGTTTCCCCATCTTGTCCCTCTCCCGCTGGCATCTCGCCCCACCCTGCCCCGCCTGGCCCCGCCCCGACTTAGCCTGCCCTTTGAGATCTTGTCCTCCACCTTCGCCGAACTGGGACCTTGACGTCACCCTTTCTTGCGTCTCCTGTACTCTTGTTTTGTTTTCATTCTTCATCACCGCACGTTAGTAATATCCGCTCCTCCTCTCCATCTTTCATCTCGTCTCCTTTCTCCCCAGACATCTTCCTATAGTGTCCTGGGTCTTGGTTGTTTGTTTCTTTGTCTCGTGGCACCGCAGACATTCCTCTTACGAAATCACACAAGAAACAAAGTCTAAGTTCACTTGCACTCGCCGACCAGTCTGTGTCTCAGTCCGATATGTTTCTCACTGAAAAATGTTTACTATTTTCGCTCACTTCTTTTTCTCCTCCTATTCACAACATTCCTCTGCTCAATATTCTTGACGCTCATATAACCAGACAAATATTAATTGCATCTTAGTTTTCGAATTCTTTTTCCTTTGACACTAAAAGCAGACTCAAAACTTTATGCTGAAAATGCATCTCAAAGCCAAGGTGTAGAATCAGGTATAATATGGTTAGGTCTAGGACAACTCTGGGTGGTGTAAGAATGTATCATAAATCACGGGAAGCTTTATGACAAAATATCAGTAGTGTTATGAAACGCCTTCACCCAACACACAACATGTGACCACACAGGACACGAGAAGTGAGAGTAAACTACACACAGAGAGGGAGATGTGGTCCACTCTTAACAGATCAGGGGCTCAGATTATCAGGGGTCCGTGGGATGGATGTTATGCCTAACTGAAGATTGAAGAATGCACTTAACTGGTCGACTTAGGTTAAGACACAATACTAACGCCCACAAATAGCATGGAAATAAACGCTAATACTTTACCACAGCTTTGAGTCAGTTAGGAGACAATATTAACGTACAAAATACTTTCGAAGTTTCTCAGCCTCAATATTACCTTCAAACTGATGTTAAGTGAACGCATTTACCTAATTCAGAATATTACTGTTATTTTGATGCTATTTTTAGGCATTAGCTTTGTCCTTTAACTTAAGTCAATCAGCTAAGTGTATTCTTGCATCATCAGTTACGAGAGATATTCATTCCCCGAACCTTGAGAATCCGAGTTCAGAGCACGCTATGATGAGGTAACTTTATAGTGACATTCTCTGGGAGGTAAATCATCGTGTACACAGACAACAACGTGAGACACTGAGAGGTAACTGAACACACTCGACTCCTGTCCTCATGTTATGAACACTGACGAGGTCAAATATATGAACACGAGCAAGTTTACCCGATGAAGTCTTGACCTCATTCTTTACATTGCTCAGGAATTTAGACACAAGGAGGTAAGCGATACGTTCTGCTTCTTTAGCTTGGTTGAAGAGAGATAGAGAGATTACTAGTTGTGGGTGAAAGGTCATTCTCATACAGATTAAGTGGTTTCTTCTAAGAGTTGTTGTATTTAATGAAGGTGGGGCGTATTATCTCAAGTCTGTCTCGGTTACCATTCACCTTATTTGTCTCTTGTTTCCTGATTCTTTCTCCTGTAACCATTTCTTTCTCCCTTCTACCATACGAACCTATTCCGCAACCCACATCCATCCCTCTATATTTAGGGGTGGAAATCATCGTTTTCTACCACTACCACTAACCCTACCACTACCAACCCCACCACTACCATCACTACCACTACCCCTATCATCACCATCACGTCACGAGTTTGTTGTTTTCTCGTATCAGCTGTTGGTGTTGGCCACAGCTGAGAAGTGTCAACAAACAACCACCCGAGCCCCACCACACCGTCGACTGCGTAGTGATTAATGTACACCTTCCAACACAGCCTTAGAGAGTGTCGTGTTAGCATCGATTACCTCTTGCTTGTGGTTTGTAGATTGTCCACGAAGATTGATGACAGTGCTAACCAGGGCAAGATGTTGAGGCTCATTGATGTGTCTGAGTGTCTTTTGATGGTTCCATTGGCTTCGGTGATCTCCTGACGGGGGGTTCTGGGGAGTTGAAGGAGGGAAGAGAAAGATTGTATCGCGGTCTCTTGGTTCACTGCTGCCACGTGCAGGTCACTTAACCTCCTCACTCCCGCCTTCCTCTCTCTCCGTTCCCATCTCCACCTTCCTCCATTGCCGCTTTCCCCTCCCTCCGTTCTCGCCCTCCCGCCTTGCACTCTCTTCATTCCCGCTTTCTTCTCCCTCCGTTATCCGCCTTCCCCTCCCTTCGTTCCCGCCTCCCCTCCTCCTCCTCCCTGCTCTCACTCATCCTTTCCTTCTCACTACCCTGTTCCTCCTCCTTTCCTTCTATCTGTCCTGTCCTTCCTCATTTTCCTTCTCTCTGTCCTGTCCCTACTCCTTTTCCTTCCCTCTCTCCCCCTTCCTCCTTCCTTTCTTTTCTCAACCCCTTAGTTTTGCGGTTTATAGAAGTTCTTTCACCGCTACAAAGATCTCAATACGTGTTTGTTGTTTCACGTCTTCATTAAGGTCTTTGCAGAACGAATCGTGACACAGGTGTGAGTTTTTGTAGTGATATTTCGTACTGTCTCCTCCTTGAAGCTCTAGTATGGATTATTTCATTTTGATATTCGTCAAATTACATAAAATTATCATAACGACACAGGTACAGATACAGGGAGAGACATAGGTACAGAAAGAGGTACAACAAATACACGAACATAATTCTGACTCACATCATCTCATACACACAGGAAATAGTGAGACATAATCTCTCTCATTCACACCAACCACATCACTAAGTCGTCTCTGTGATAAGGCCAACCTTCACCTCGACCCGCCATGAGAAATTCAAGGAAGATGACACTCACTAGTTAATACTCCACCACCACAGTGTCTAGTCCACTCATAAACTCAATTAGTATTCTAGGAAAACTTACTAAACACTTTACTGAGTATTGGCGGGTTTTATAAGTAGTGTTAAACAAGTAATTATCAAAAGTGGATCTTATAATAGCAGTTCATAAGTATACAAGACACCCATGAGCTTTAGAGTTAATTCCTTGTCATCATTTACGTTACCACATGTTGCACTAAGAGGGTGTGGTAGGGTGTTACAGTGGTCATGTTACAGGGTGTGGTAGGTTGTTAAAGTGGTCAAGTTACAGGGTGTGGTAGGTTGTTATAGTGGTTATGTTACAGGGTGTGGTAGGCGGTTAGATTGGTCACAGTAACAATGGTGTGGCAGGCTGTTACAGTGGTCACAGCAACAATGGTGTGGTGGGCTGTTACAGTGGTCACAGTTACAGGGTGTGACAAGTTATTACGGCGTTATAGAACCGTGTGTTACGTTTATGAAGTCGCGAGTGATGGGTTGTGTTACAGGAGCTGTCTTAATACAGTACTTGATGCTACTTAATGCTACTTTATGCTACTTACTTGATGCTACTTAATGCTACTTGATGCTACTTAATGCTACTTGATGCTACTTACTTGATGCTACTTAATGCTACTTAATGCTACTTAATGCTTCCTAATGCTATTTGATGATACTTAATGCTACTTGATGCTACTTGATGTTACTTGATGCAACAACACGAGATTTCGAGGTTTACATTGACCAAAGGCTTGCTAAACGTGGTTACCTGGTCCATCTTGTAATTGTCTCGAGTGGGCAGGTAACCAGAGGAGGGCGGTAGTGAACGTTTGAAAACTTGAATGAGGAGACATTGTGTTTTAAGGACATTGTCGAGTCTACTGAGAGAGAGAGAGAGAGGTAAGGGGAGGGGGAACTGAGAGTGTGTGAGGAACAACACTTAGAATTTTTTAATAGACGCTTTTGAGTTTACTGAGAGTGATCTTCGTCTAGTTGGAGAGAGAGAGAGAGAGAGAGAGAGAGAGAGAGAGAGAGAGAGAGAGAGAGAGAGAGAGAGAGAGAGAGAGAGAGAGAGAGAGAGAGATGAATACTAAAACTGGGGATCATATTTTAGGTAAAGATAAACCGAAATTTATTGTGATAGTGAAGACGAGACGGAGCGCCATCCCACGATCAGGGTCAAAGAGGTGAAGGTGAGGATATGTGGAGCAGGTGGGAGCTAAGTAGGGTTGTC